TCCCTTGGGTGTCCCTTGAGTGCCGGAGACCGAATTTACCAAAACCTTCATTGACAGCTGCACCTGGCTAATTATTAACCACCAAGCGTCCCCTTGGTGGCAGAATACTGAGTCAGGATGCAGTGGAGGGTCGAGCACAGGATACGGATAGGAAGGAGAAGGATAGAAATGTGGACCCAGGAAGAGTCAACACCAACCCACCAAGGATGAGGATGGCAGAGGATGAGGGGATGCAGTCAGCAGGGTGTGGGATGTTAGCAAGCATTGGCTTGAGGATATGGAAAGGGGGTGTAGGATGTATCCAACTGGCAGGATGCATGTTCATGCATCCTGCCAAGACTTCCCAAGAATGCAAGGATGGGCCGCCAATTTGACACCCTCCATCAGTGTACACTGATGTATATGCAGTGCAGCCCACTAGATATTCATGGTGATTGATAGGGGATTTAATTATTGGCTACATCGATGTAGCCATCGATGTAGCCATAGATATCTATGAATTCATGAAAACTATCAACATGCATATGTGTCTGGGTCTAGACCTTAGATCTAATAATGCGAGTTCGAACTCGCTAATCCATCTAACAGGTCTAAACCTGTTAGATCTCGCATTATTAGTTATGTCCTATAGCCTTCATGGCTTGCTGTACGGTTGCGTTCGGGGTGTCGGATAGGACAGGGCGAGGCAAACCGGGGCTGCCAAGGGCCTTACACTACTGCAGAGTACTAATTGCTGCTCTCGGAGCGCCAGGGCGCGTGTGCGCCGAAGCGCGGTCTAGCGCCACACGGCGCGGTCTGAGCGCGCGCAGCGCTGTCCAGCGCGGCCACACCGGCACGGCCGAAAGAACTGACGCACAGCACTAGACAACTAAACGCAGCATTAATGACTGCGTCCACTGGTCACCCGCCCCGAGGGCAAACCTGAAGCGTCAGCGACGCACGAACCACACCCTGGCCAGCGGGGCTGGCCAGGCGACATTCCTAGCGCGCGACGATACTCTATAGGCACTTATTTGCCGTGCGGTAATCGCTGTACAGCTGCACGTCCGGCGCTCCGAGGGGACTGCCTAATCACCGGTCTCCAACTGGGCCGAGCCTGCCGCTTATAAACGAGGGACACTGAGGGCGGGGGGGGGGAAGTGAGAGCAACAATAATAATAAGCTCCAATAGTGTAGGCAGAATGCCGGAACTATGGAGCTGTCAGCTGAAATAGTAAATTCGAATTCTCAGCAAGCCATACGGCTGCCGTACATAACCTAGCTTAGAGGCTATACTCGCTTTGCTCCTGCCGCATCTAAGCTACAATTATGTCCTATAGCCTTCATGGCTTGCTGTACGGTGCGTTCGGGGTG